ACCTGGCCAATAAACTGATTCTGATGTAAAGGTACCAATGACAAAATCCCCTCTGAAATAGGATGGAGTGGAAGTACAGAATAGTAGGTCTATAAGGAGAATACTGTTAAATACTAGGTACAAATATCTCAAAACTGTACTTAGGTACAGGACTTTAGACTTTTTTTTCTACAACAGCATTACAGTTGCCATATATTTTGAACAGCTGCCTCTGACTTTTTTTCTACAACAGCATTAAAGTTGCCATATATTTTGAAAAGCTGCCTCTGACGGTACCTATGGCTCAAACTAATTCGTCTACTACCATAAGAAATCTTAACTCCTTATCACTGTAGCAAAAGGCTAACAGCTATCCTCGCACACAGTCTGATTATTATGAAATGGGTCAGTGAGTCAGGTGTAGGAATGGACCAAGTTTGCTTGGTGGTGCTGCAGCTCATCCGCCCCAGCAGCGTCAACCTGCGCCGCTGACTGACAGCTGGGAAGCCTCCGCCCAGAGCCGCTATACACCCGGCTGCCTGACTATCTGCAGGGGCTGCGGGAATGACGGACAATATCCCCCTACAACCCGTGAGACGGCCGAAGAGACACGACAATAAACACAGAAATGGGTAAGGACGTTATACAGCACGGAGATATTAATGTGAATCATTCTGTTAACGTATATCGCTCGTCGGCTTCCGCTGTTGTCAGCGCACTATTTACAGGAGCGACATTGTCTGAAGAATCAGTCAATCGGTGGGAAAATATAACACTCAGGGGGAAACAGTGTCTACCAGATATATACATGTTAATAAAATGGTGTGGCCATTTAATGTAGCTCTAAAACAGCTAGCTTGAGCGTCAGGGCAGCTTCTTGTTCCGGGGTGCGACTGGTGCAAGTGCGTTTCATGCCCTTATGTCAATGTTTGCTCTGCTGAGCTCAGTCTGTCATAAAGGAGAAACCACCCAGATATGTAGGCCCGGGACTAATGTGTTATAATTCCACATGCTGGCTGAATGGTGTTTTGTCTAGCACATAACGAGCAGGCCTCATAAATGGTGATGGAGAAACGCATACAGGGTGTTGTACCGTCAATAGACCGAGCGGGCGGTGATGTAAACACACTGCACAAAGACCTGGCAATGAGCTGTGGTAACGTACAAACAGGCAAAACGCCTCGCACTTAGCACCATAACTCATAGGCACGCCCGGAGACCATAACCTCTTCTTCCAATTCACCTGCACGGCCCCGTACATGTTAAGGCAAGATCAGATTAAGGGTAGGGGCGTAACCATGCACTTAGCTCAGGACATGGTACATGGTACTGGGTTCACGACACCCAATTTTTAACAAATCTTCACATGACAAAATATGTGACTGGGAAAATAGGCTTTTATTCAACTGAAAGCCTCAAAATACAAAACAATGCAGGTGAATTATCTATCCATCCATCCATTCATTACCCAGCATCCTGAGCAGGGGGCGGGGCCGTGGCTGGAGCCAATCCCAGCTGAGCAGCTGCATTTTGAAATGTTTTAATTACTCATCTTGTAATGCGGAGGGTTCATGGGAGTTTGCCCAACCAGTCCATATGTGTTTCATGGATCTGGAGAAGGCATTCGACCGTGCCCCTTGCAGCGCCCTGTGGAGGGTGCTCCAGGAGTACGGGGTACGGGGCCCTTTGCTAAGGGCCGTCCGGTCCCTGTACGACCGGAGCAGGAGCTTGGTTCGCATCGCCGGCAGTAAATTAGACTTGTTTCCAGTGCATGTTGGACTCCAGCAGGGCTGCCCTTTGTCACCGGTTCTGTTCATTATTTTTATGGACAGAATTTCTAGGTGCAGCCAGGGGACAGATGGAGTCCGGTTTGGGGACCACAGGATCTTGTCTCTGCTTTTTGCAGATGACGTTGTCCTTATCTGCCTGGCCCCATCAAACCAGGAACT